TTAATTAGCATTTCAGAATATCACAGGTGTAAGTCCCGAGATTTAAACTTGTTTCACTTTCTCAATCGAACGAACAACTGAGCTACCACTGCTTTAATTTATATTAAGTATTATCATCTGTCAACACATTAGTTGAATTCGTTAAATACATTTAATCGCGTCTTAATATGTAAATTAACGACCCATTCGCACATTGAGGAACAATCGTTAAACTTAACAGTCTATTAAAATCTTATCACGACATTTAATAAGTCTGACGTATGGTGAAATTAGCTCTAACTCGATTAACGATGTTGAAGTCATTCGAAAAAATTATAAAACTCGCACTCAACTTTTTTCTAAAGGGATAGATTAAGATTAGGAAGATATCACACCTTAAGTTTCACTTCACTTTTGAATCACCTTGAGTTTCGTATTAAATTACACGGTCATTCTTTCCTCTTTGTACGTAAAAAGCAAAGCACTCGCAGGTCACAAAATAAAGTACATATTTATCATCTTGCTATGATGATATTACATCGTGGTGTTAAATCTGCCAGTAGACAAACGAAATTACTAAATATATAGATGTCTTACACATACGTATAATGTGTGCTACACTCAAAGTTTTTTACCTACAATTTCTTTAGCTTTTTTCTTAAGATAACAACATTTGTTATGAAAATTGTTCATCATAAAATTAAAAGATTTGTTATTTATGTTTTGATTTGACATTTTGTTACAAAATGGTGAATATAAAATAAATATATAGATATAGATTTCTCAGAGATGACATATTTTCCTGCAGTAAAAAGTATCATATATGTTACCCGGATAACTGGCTATCATCATACCAAATTTCATCAAAATCTGTCCAGTGGCATTCTCGTGATGCGTCCTTAGACAGACAGAGAGACAAAAATTCTAAAAACCATAGATTCGGCTTCTGCATCGATAATAATTACTATTTCAATAAGATTTTCCAATAAATATTTAATGTATAAATAAATTTTAAAGAATAATCATAAGTTTTTAATAGTATTAGGTTCCCTATGATTAGGGAGACCCAGTACAGCATTACAAAGAGGTTATTATGACGCATCTACGTGTACATTTTATTATTTCCGAACAGTTTTCTTTCTGCGTCACGTACAAAATATTTCACATAAGAAAAACCAATTTCCCCTTCATCCTTATGTCTATAAAAATAAAGTTCACTTTCTTATGCGTTGTTTTATGTTATTTCGATATGTCATTTGCTTGGTCTTCACGTCACGTAGTAGGTTCGACTCCTCGGCCGACGCGTGTTCTCAGTTATCCTTTGCGTTTTGTTCTTATTGTGGTATTATGTTTCGTGACAGCGTCGGCGTTATTAAATGTATGATCATTACGGGAATGCTAGCTGGTATATTATAATCATTTTATGAGACAACTGAATTTCAACTAACAGCTTTTCATTTGGATGACATTTATTTAAGGAAAATTATGTTGTTTTAGGTTTTTACGTTTTAACTAAAATGTGGGTTGAGATTATTCGGTTTACGCTGCACCTACTACGAACCTATTAGTATATCTATTGCGTGCTTTTAATGTTAATTTTAAATCTTGTGTACAACTTAACACTGTACGTAAGTAATAACGTGAAAGTGAAATTCGTTATATTTTAATACGAAAACAGTATTGTAATCCATATTTACATGTATAACCAGTTCTTAACCTACATTATCTCGCAAAAATAAGCCGATAGAGCGCCGTTTTATAATGACATCGTTTCCCCTTCAATCTTAACGGAAAAATATAAAGGCAAAATCTTTTTAGCGCCCGATAATCGTTATGGGCTAAGCAGCTGCCACTTTGCCAAATTATTGGGAGATTTCCAAGGAAAAGTTGTCACCCCTCGGTGAAGAGGGTAAACGTAGTGTTTGATAGCATGATTTTCTCGAGGCGTAAGAAGAATGTTAAATTACAGAAATGAAAGATAATAGGCCGACCCCTTAAAAGTTTTTTTCATGGATAAACTTTGTATCCCATAAGATTTTCGAATTACCCCAAGGGAGTTTCGAGTTTTACGTTATTTATTCATGGGGTTTCAGATTCAAATATATTCCACGAGTGCTTTAATAAATAAAAGTTTAATGGGGAACAAATACAAATTATATCTATTTTGTTATCTTTAAAATAAATTGATGTTTGTTGTTATATATACGTTTTTTATTAGTAAATTGTATTGCGATGAAGTTTTGGACCTACGTGTAAGCTTCAAACATAGTATAGTACTATTAACATAGAGCTTGCTGAATCCAATATTAAATACTAATTTGAAATTTTAAATAAAATTATCTTCAAAATAAAATGATTTTTTTGCGGATTTATTTAGATTTTTGTTTCCCGAGGCTTGTTTAAATGCTTTACAGCGATCATCTTCAAAATAAAACGAATTTTTTTGCGGATTTATTTAGATTTTTGTTTCCCGAGGCTTGTTTAAATGCTTTACAGCGATCATGGCCACCGTATAAAATAACTCGAGACGTCTACAGTCTTAGTCTCTCTCGTGATCATGATTACTGTAAATTTAGTTATAACTATGTACATCGCACTTGTGTCAGATCTTGTTGTTATTGTAATGACCATTATCTGTCTGTTTCCAATGTTTATATTTCTATACATTTATTCTTTTAATCTACGAGATAAAGTATGTATTTAAGATCTGTGTTACTTTACCAGAATGGATCTTTAATATTTTAAAAACTACTTATATACTACGGTATAGTGAGTATATTATGTAACAGCAATACCATTTGGCGTACCGGGAATCTGGGAAAGAACCGACGGTTCCATCTGAACGGAACTTTTATGAACGGCATTGGTAGCCCAGTGTTAACGCATTCGCTTGGGAAACCGAGTGAAGCAGGTTCAAATCCCGAGTCTTTTACCTCTGATATTTTCGTGTGCGAATCATTTCTAACATTATTACCACTAACGCTAATTACTAACTCTATTATTATCATTTGATTATTATTGATTGAAAAAATGTAAGTAGCTTTTTTCTATTTAATTCTTAATAATTAATCTTTTGTGTTTTTTTTAAATAACTTTACTAAAAAAATAACACAAAAACTTTATTAAAAAAGAGTTTAATATGTTTCAATAGTAAAAGTTAATAAAAACGAATTATCATAAATATTTAATTATATTGTCTTACACCCTCTAAGACCAAATAAATAAATTGCTGCCTATTGTACCATTTTGTTGATATATTTTTGATCTGCATATTATGGTAAATGGTGTACCAACAAAAGGATATTTTTAATTTTACTTCTTAGATTATGTATTATAATAATAATATTAAATGTTCTCTTGAATTTTATGACACTAGGTAGGAGATACAGTGCACAGTGTGTGTACAGAAACAAGTACACACACGTAGGTGTAATTAACTTCTTTACTCTGTATTGCTACCGAAAACGTCTTAAGAGAAAAACTCAATAACTATACCTCGACCGACCTAGGACTCGAACCCAGAGCCTCCAGATTTGCGGCCGTACATGTAAGTCTAAAGATTAACGTAAAATGATATTAGCTTTCAAGTAAACATAAAATTGAAATTTGAAATTCGTCACACATACAAGACATTTGTTTTTTTTCTCTAGGGGCTATTACCATAGTTTATCATTTTTCGTAGATTTTTAATATCTTATATTACTTATACTATAGCTTAGAATTTTATATGCTACTAAGTCAGTCAGTGCTTTATACTTAAACTGTCACCTATTCACTTTAATTAAATTAGGTCATTCATTGAATTGAATTATTGTTATTATTACCCATATTTAGTGTTATAACTTATATCTACGTATTTATAATATACAAATAAATAAAGTTAAGTAAATATTTACATAGAGAATTAGGATAACAAAATAGTCTCAGAAAGATTATTTACTATATTTAAAAATCATCAAAATATTTGCTTAAATGAGAGATAAGCAATAATCAAATTCTCAACAAATCTACAGTATCTAAATTTCAAAATTAATTTTGTTTATTTTATATATGCAGTATTACGTAAGGGATAAAAAAACAACATAATATCAGTCCATATCGAACATTTTATTTTAAACTAATACGAACGCATAGTAGAATTTACGATATATATTTATATAATATTAAATGGTTTATAACAGAACATTGACAATAAAGCGATAACTAAGTTCACCAACATCTTATAAAGCCACAGTGATTGCATTCGAGTTTATTTACAAGCGGACTTGCCGACTTTGAAGTTGATAATAATAAAATATTAAAGCTATTCAAAACATGGCCAATGACACAACAGTCTTATTTCTAGATATTTTTTATATAATCATAAAACTTTTACATTCGATCCATTCACTCAATTAGATATGCGATGCCAAGTAAAATATAAAGTTCTAAAAGTTCTATAAAAGTTCCATCTTTTTGTTAATCTCATGAACTTAGATGATAAAAATTAAAGTTACGTATATTTTTGATCTTACATTAAGTGATTGGCTGAAATGCGTTAAACAGTTTCGAAAATTGTCAGTGTTAGGAAAGTAGAAACGGCAGTGCCTTCAGTAACACGGCAAAGGGAAGACGGAGGAAGACGCTCGAAGTTGCTTCTATTTTTTTATACATTATAAGCTTAAAATTCACGAATATATTATATAAAAGTACAAAAAATGAGCAGAAAACAAACTGGGTCGAACGTTCGTTGCGTAACACTTAATAGGTATTACTTTTATTACACGTTTTAAACTCACTAAGTACGTCTTTAAAAATATATTTCAGAGCAACTAGAAGCTTCGTAAGGTTTAGAAAAATACAGTGAATACGAGTAAGTAACCTCATTGGATCAGTGCCAAGCTGTTGTAAATACGAGTACATCTAGAGTACAAAAGCAGTCTCCAGATTAAATTCGGTAACGTAGCTTAATGATATATTTAGAATTAACACTATATATAAGTACGACTTTGTACCGTTTTATAGGTATTCAATTATTGTTAAAAGTCACTAATCTCAGGATCCGTGTCCGCATATTTGCATGTGAACGGATTTCTTAGCCATGAACAGAAAGACCGATCGCTGTGCTGTTTATATTTAGCTGTGGTATGTTTTTTTGCATGGGCCCTGGCGACAGCGGCTCTTCTAGTTGGATAGGAATCAAGTGATGATGCATCAGAATCTCTTGGTACAGAGTCATAACCGGACTCTGCTCTTCTCGATGTGGCTGCTGGACTATGTTTGCCAGTTCTGGGCGTAGATTCATGCCCACTATCGTAACCATCTGGTTTACAGCCGGCCACTATTCTTGCCACATTTTTATCTCCTTTCTCACATTTTTCGGATCGTGGCTCAGTTGTTACAACGGGCGGTGTGACTTCTAGATGCAAATTTGATTTAAGTTCCTTAAATGTGCTAGATGGTGCGCCACTACCTGGGACTCGATTTTCTTCTCGTAAATTTGGATCAGATGCTCCATCTGGATGTCGCAGTGAAGCTATCCTAGCATCTGTTATATCGTTAGATCGATATCTTTCAAAAGGGCCATATGGATCATTATGTATGACATCCAAATCGTGATATGCATCACATTCTCCTACAGCGCTACCTGGTCTAGACATAGACCGTTTACAACTATCACAAATTTTATCACTAGGCCGATATGCGGGTTCACTGTAGACGGATCCATCACCATGATAATCTTCAGTATCTCTAACATTGCACATTGACAGAGATTGAAATTGGGGTGCAATCCTCGACGTTTGTTCGTTACTATTGTCTAATACTCGTCGTGATCCATACAATTCAGTCAAACCCAATAATTCTTCTAATCTCGAGCGTGATGAAGGTAAACTTTCATGTGGATTTAAATCTGCCGGATGATCTACATAATTATTAGTATAAAATCCAATCGTTTGCCTAAGATATGCTTCAGTTCTAATTTGCCTTTCTACTTCACTATATAAAGAAAGAGTGTCTGTAAAAGTTGAGGCAACAGTTAAATTTTCTTGGCTTAAAATTCTAAGAGGATGATCATCACCTTCTTCACGTTCAAATTGCTCAAAATGATTTTCTGCATACCCCATACAAAGTGCAATATCTTCTTCTGTGACTTGAAGGCAACAATCCTGCATTGGAACAGGTTCTAATGGCTCTTCGACTTCAATTATTTCTAAGATTTCATCTTCATCGTCAACTGGACCCTTACTCATTCCATGGGGGTCAATATCTCGACTGTGATTAGAAACCATTTCATCGTCCATTCTCATTCTTTCTTTATATTTGCTATCCAAACTTTCCATTGACACTTCTCTACTACTTAGACTACTTGGCTGTATTAAAGGTAAGGCAGGTGGAATCTCTGCTAACTCTTCACTATCATCATCTTCGTCAGGTTCATTTTTTGTCGATGATTTTGTACTTGATGGTTTTCTTATGTAATTTGAATCAGGGGGACCAAGATTTTCTTCTTCTATTGACATTCCTTTTGAGCCAGCTTTTAAACCAGTTCTTATAGTAGATTCTTCTACATATATTCGTCTTGTTGCATCTTTAATTTCCATTCTATGAGTAGTGCTATCAATTTCTTCAGGAAGTCTTACTCCTTCTTTATGAGGTTGTTGGACTTTATGACTAGGTGAATTATGCCTAGATTTGTGAATTTGAGATGTCTGGTTCTCCACCCATTTTTTGATCATATTTTTCTTATGGCTATCCATATAACCATATCCAATACTTTCGTTTCCATATGAGTTAAGAATACCAACTTGCAGAGGTACATTACTGGGTTGTTGAATTGGCACAGATTCAAATTGTAGCGGAGCTTTGGGCTCTTGCATTGGACCATCGATCCACGTTTCCCTCTTCTTCCCTTGCGTTTCTTTTATAATATGTCGAGCTTCTACAAGTTTTGATTTTGATATTCTAGGTCCATCGATCCATTGTTCATCACTTGTACTTTTCCCTTCCTCTCCATGCTTTGAATTTTGTTTTTTTATAGGAGTAGCTTTCGATGTTATTGTATGTACTGGAGAAGATTTTGGTGTGTAATTTGGCTGTGTTATATTCTTTAAGGGAGATGATTTTGGTGATGCATAAAATTTATGGATTGGGCTTTTTTCTTCAACAACTTTTGATAGAGAAGATTTGTGCTTTTGATCTGCTGCGGAGCCTCGTAAAGTTTTACTCAAAACCGAATTAATGTGTGGTATATAAACCGGTGGATGTTCACCATCTGTTGCGTCATCTGAAGGTCCTACATAAATTACCGTATCTGCGGAGAGGTCACTACTCGATGGGTCGGGTTCGCTACTACTTGGCTTAGACGCATCTTCTCCAGAACTGCCTCCAGAGCCAGCATTATTATTTGAACTATATTTAATTTTTCTTCTACGCAATCTATGTATTCTCGAAGCTAACTGCAGTGTCGTTAAAGTATCAGAATAGTTTTGAACGTTAGGAGATACATGAACTATCATCGCAGTGTGACATGTTAAAGAACCTAAGCATTCCTTCAATACATGTGTTAAATTGTGATCTCGATAGGGTAAATGTCGTTGTCCATTAAAAATTGCTAAAAGAATATTTCCTAAACCGGATAGTGGTATCCCTCCATTAGTTTTTCCTCGCTCAGAATTGCCTAAGTCTATCAAGTGCAAGCGGCTCCGCCCTCCGGCAACTGTAAATAAAGAAACGAATTGTTATTTTAAATCTGTCTCGACAGAGAAAGCTCTAGACATTTGCCTGGACGAGAATAATCAAACATTCAATTTCATTGGAGTTGTAGAATCAGCAGCGTAGTACAAATAATTTAGTAGATCGAAATTGTGTTATTATAGTAAAACGACTCTGCTTGTATTAGAACTGGAAATTATTATTTTTACAATAACTTTATATTTTAATATATAAAGGAAAATTATGGTTTTCTTATGATAAAAATTACAGAATAAGGTAAATTATTTAGTAGGCACTCACCTGCTCCTTTTCCACCGACGCTATATTGGTAAACATGTAAAGTATATAGAAGGTGGCTGTCTTTCCCTTCTTCGCGAGTTCCTCTTGTAGCCAATGCTGCATCGAGATAAAATGCAGCTTTCTCTGCACTATGCACACGTAATTCCGACTGATTCTGAAGATGCGTGCCGAACAGTGGATCATCTCGGAGATACACTCCTGGTGATTGTTCAGTATCTATTGCAACAAATGAAAAAAAAGTTTTTTTTATCGTATTAACTAGGTAATTTTTAATTTATACATCATACTTTAAAAGTATATTTAGACATATGTTTCATTTATATAACAATTTAAAGTTAGATATTAAATTATAAATATTTTTTATTTGAATGAGTGAATTTTAATGTTATGATTCCAACCTAGACTTCTGGATTCTAATACACGTGGTAATATATTTAAATTGTTACTAATGTACTCGTAATATTATAAATATTTTTCATTTAGGTTTTACATACCATTTTGATATGGCGCCAACAAATCTCTAATCTGATTGGTGTTAGTACAAAGTTCCACAGCAGAAACTCTGACGGAGAAGCGTGTCCCGCATTTGTGCCTTTGCTCAGCTATCCCCCGGAATAACCAGGATATTGCGCAAGGTACAGCACCAAGGGATGATGATGAGTCCGGTCGCCCCAACATTGTGTACGACTTGCCTGGGAAAGAAATTTTATACCAAAACTACTTTTAGAAATCATTTATTTTTTATGTCTCATTTACTTATGGAAAGTACAAATATAGACTTATTCATATTCATATCTATACATATAATAAAATTCTGAGTCGAATCTGTACATTAAATATTTTTTGGAAAATCTTAATGAAACAACCATTCTTATTCATACAGAGACCGAATCTATAGTTTTTAGAATTTTTGTCAGTCTGTCTGGGAAAGCGTCACGAGAAACCCCTGACACATTTTGATGAAATTTGGTATGATGATAGTTGGTTATTCGGGTAACGGGTAATTTTTACTGCGAGAAAATATCTCTTCTCTGAGAAATCTGTACTAACCGTCAACACGTATCTAGGGACGAACCCGAGCAAAGCGAATTACAAATAATTTTAAAATAATAACTGTTTAATAATCAATACAAAATATCCCAATATAAGTGTGAGCAAAACGGACAAATGAATTTAGACATTATTCACTACCTACTGTTAAAATTAAAAAAAAAAACGAAAAAATCCAATCTAGTAATGACTATTTAATATAAGCGTAATGTTTTAAAACATATCTGCAAAAATTTACGTACTATAGTGATATGCAAAGCTTTATTGCTGGCACTGATCTCGTTGAATTAAATTGAACGAATGAAAGTACACATTGTGCCCCTATTATTTAAATATAGAAAAAATGACATTATAATTAACCTCATTTCACAGCGAAGTTTATATAATCTGTACACTTATATAAAAAATCGATGTGTCTATGGACTTCAATACGGCTGGAGCTAAATTGGTAAAAAAATCATTTTTTTAATCCATCCATCTTTAAATTAGCCCAGCGGGTGATTCTGTGAAGTTTGAATGCGGGCGAAGCCGCGGGAACTGCTAGTATAATATGATAATATTGAGTTATCTATTTTGAAATAATGAAAACGATGTCCTAATTACTCGCTGAGAGATCGACAATCTCCAAATAAGCAGGATGATACCGTAAGCCACGTTTCCGCGGCACTCCGCGTTCCCTCAGAGTTCCGTTGAGGCTTTCATTCAATTTACATTTAAAACCTTAATCCTCGTCGCTGAGTAAGACTTACAATGGCTCAAGTCGTTTAATAATATTTCGCTATTAAGGATGTTTTAGTCTTTTGATTTTAGTACGCGAATTTGTGAAATATATTAATGCGCCACAATTTCGCTCGGGTGTTACTAGAGTATCTGTTTTGATATTTTTTATTCATAAGTATAAGTTGTATTAAAATCGGTTTAGTCGTTAGTGAATAAAGAAAATAGATAGTGACGAAAAAAATAATACGTGGATGGACTTTGATATCGCGTTACTAACTATAAAATACAGATCGTTATTCTATTTTTATTTAAGTTAAAAAGGTATTAAGAGTATTTTATTTAAGAAAAATATTTCTTAAGAAACTGGATATCCGTAGCAGTTTGTGTGGAAAAAATCATTTAGTATAAAAAAAATATTTAATATGCAGAGATTTTGATTGATATATCAGAAGTTTTATTTGTATAGCATGGCCAACTTTTTTTTTAATTATACACGAATGAGGCCATAAGTTTTCTCGTGAAATGAGTATATAAAACCTCACACCTCATCAAAAAGCTGGCAATCTAATTAAAACTTTATGGTTTAAAAGTCATCTTTTTACAATAAACTCTCGTCTCTTATATTTAACTATATATTCCAAGTGTGAATTCACGATAGAAACTTATTTCATAAAAGTTGAATACTAATTCTGCATCTAATGTAGGTATTAGAGTTTGAATTAAATACTTCCGTCTTTGCATTTCCATACTAATCTTGTATATATACCTAATATAAGCTCCGCACTAAGGTCTGATAAATAGTGCAACTCAAGCTTACCGATTGAATATTTAAACTGAATGTTTCTGTGAAATGCAGTAGTTTCTGTGAATGGAATTTGAGATAGTTGAAACAGTTAAGAATTTATAAAGTTTATTTAAATTTACATACACAAAATAGTTATTTGTTTTTGGGAATTGTCGAGAGCTCTGTAATTTGAATGTGTTCAAAGTTGATTTTATTTCATATTAGTGTAGCTATAGATACAGCGCGCACTCACTTCAGACGGTTTTATTATTTAAAAAAATATGATTTTCAAATTGTTATACACTCTGCGGCAGTGCGAAGGAAGAACAAACACATATATAGATTTTCACATAAATTTTCACATTAGTGTGATCAGTGCTGTGTACTATACCTAAATAGTATATATTACATATTATATAAATGTATATTATGTACATTGTATATATAAGGCGGAATTCACGAGAGCTCTAGACATTGTTCCATTTAGGATTGACGCTAGCTTGCTTGGCGAAAAGGAGTACCTACTAAATTTTAAGGCTTATGTGGAAACTGTATTCTTCCCTATTTCGACGTTCTAAAATAATATTGTGTATTCATAAATTAAAATTATATTTTAAATTAAAACTAAAATTAATACAAAACTATACGACTATTCTACAAAAACGTATTAACAATAAGAAGTATAATATAACTAGTGAATTATCCTTGCTTCGCTCGGGTGCGTATCTAAGTGCCTAGCATAAGCCAATGTGGCTAATGCTAGGCACCTACATACGCAGCTACTCCAGGTCGTAGTCTATCTGTATACTAAATTTGTTCCAAATCAGTCCAGCCGTTTTAGCGTAAACCAGAATACGGTATATCCATCGAAATTTAACTCAACATTTAAGACGTAACTGAATAACAAACATCCAAGCCCCTTTACAATGTTTCACATTTGCAATATTAATTGAGAATAATACGGTAAGTTCTAGAAAATGTATGGATATATATAACTTTAACAGCTATTGTATAGATAAATGAAACGTGTACATGATGCTAAAGAACGCTTGCAGGTGAATAGTTGGCTCTCACTACACGGCGTTGAATAGAATCGTAAAGTCCTTTTAATATGTAACGTAAGCGGAAGGTAAGCAACGCAGCTTTAGACTAACTTATTAGTTTGTAGCTACATGAAGAGCAAGAGAGTTCGCCTAAAGATATTATGGGATATTCTGTGCTTAGATTTATAAGGTAATAATTTTTTTTATAAATTGTTTGACGATTATGTGGTCTAGCGGCTTATTATTTGCTGAGCTATATTTTTATAATTTAACACTCGAAAAGTTTATATAAATAATGTTGTTTTATACTAACATTGCCAGCCATTTACGTAATTTTAGGGGTTGAATCATTTCTTTAAGAGCCTGAACCTAGAACCTAGGAGAGGTTTACTTTAGTATAAGTTTATAAATTGGGCAGGTCAAAAAATGATTTGTTCTATGAGTGTAAATGAGTCTGTATAAATGTTAAGTAGTATCGATTTACTCATACTTCGCTCGGGTAAGTCCCTAAGTGCCTTTTGTATTAACAATATTACTTAGCAGTTCTTAGGCACATTTTTAGTACTAAGAGTAACCTATGTATTACTCCAAGTCCTAATCTATTTGTGTACTAAATTTCATCCAAATCCGTTCAGCTGTTTTAGCATGAAGGGGTAACAAACATACACACATACAAACTTGTATTTATAACTAGCGACTAACCCTTGCTTCGCTCGGGTTCGTCCCTAGGTACGTTTTAACAGTTAGTATGAAATACAAATCTTTGAATTTCTGGGCCTTTCTGTACTAAAATATGCATGTATTATACATATAAACCTTCCTCTTGAATCACTCTATCAATTGCTTAAAACTATTAAAATCCATTGAGTAGTTTAAAAGATCCAAGCGAACAGACAGCGGAAGCGACTTCATTTTATACTATGTAAAAATAGTAGTGTACTTTCATACCTAGTCCTGCATGTCCGAAGCAAAAGAGGCAACCGTCGGTACCGTTGATGACAGCGTGAATAACGTCAGTCAACGCGCTCGAGCAGATCTCCGTCTGAAACCAATAAAAAAATGTTCTATAACTATAAATTTATCTAACCTACATTTTTAATTTACAAATTAGATAGCGTAGGAAAAGCATTTTTATACGAAAGTTGCAATTTTAACACTTTTATTTTCATTAATATTTTTAATGACAGAGTTTATAAAGACCTTTTGTATATCTCAGCCTTTCAATATGTAGACTTTATATTATGCTTATATTTAACATAGATTTTTCCTCTCGTAGTTAGCGATAACCTAATGTAGTAGCACATTTTACGTACTCGAGACTCGAGACCAATTGTCGTGGTCTGGGTATGTGTATTGTGTACTATTTGTTCCTGTCACACTCATACACCGGTGGGACGAAAATTGGACACGACTACTGAGAAGTGAGAGATCAGGCGCAGGACCAATGGCCTTACATGCTCTCAAAGGCACGGGGGTGAAACACCGCCAACTTCCCAACTCCGGGCTGTTACTGAGACTTACTAATCGAAAAGGTTCCATAACTAAATTAGGCCTGACCTGGGACTCCTACCCAGGACCTTCGGATCTGCAGGCGTACATGCTAGCCACCGTCTACGTCTACTACGTCACCGAAGTAGTAATCGCTCAATTTCATAAATATACGTTTGTTACATTGACACGATCTGTAATTCAAACGACCTCAAGGATTGTAACTCGTATAATATTTTTATAATATGTAAATAGTAAATATGTTGGGACCTTAACACAAATCCATCTAGACGCCATCTAGTTTCATGGTAAGCTAGGAGGCCTGTATTATAAATACCAGGTAGTTGATACACTACACGTATATAACTTTTAAATACATTAAAATATAAACCAGTCATGGGTGACTGAAGCACAAACATTCGTGCTCATCACACAAATGAATGCCTCCAGCGGGATTCAAACCCGCGACACAAATAGGGTCACTACAAACTGAACCAAACGTGTCGTCAAAGAGTGTTTATGAGTCGTTACATTTGTATTAACTGTGGGCACTGCCTCGGTGGTGTAGTGGCTAGCAAGTACGGCTGCACACTCGGAGGTCCTGGGTTCGAGTCCCGGGTCGGGCCAAGTTTAGTTATTGAGTCTTTCTGTATAGTAAGTCTCAGTAACAGCCCGGAGTTGGGAAGTTGGCGGTGTTTCACCCCCGTGCCTCGGAGAGCACGTAAAGCCGTCGGTCCTGCGCCTTAACTCTCACCGGTCGTGTCGTGCAGTCGTCCCACCGGAGTATGAGAGTGACAGGAACAGAGAGTGCACTTGTGTCTGCGCGTACACTTGTGCACTATAATATCTCCTGCGCAGTTGGCTAGTCTCAATGAGATTGGCCGCCGTGGCCGGAATCGGTTAGGAGAACATCATCATCATCATTAGCTGTGGAAGTGACATATGCTATAATGTAATGTTTAAATATCCCGTATGCAAAAAAAAGAAGTGATAGGTATATATATTCATTAGAGCACTATATGGGTAATGTAAACTCATAAGCTATAGCTAATTAAAAAAAGAAATATATTTTTTAATAAAATTGACACAGATTACTAAGAGGAACGTAATTTTTTTTAATTCAATCGCTTATAATAAATACTGCTTACTTGCATTCTAGAACAAAATCTAGAAATTAGTAAATATTTTAGCTTTTAGTACAACACGATACAGCCATAATAAACCCGAACCCGCGTATGCTGCACATAATGCTTTGAATAATTTAAGCAAATCTGGTACTTAAGACCGGAGTTAGGGTTTTACCGTGTTCCCAGTGTTTTCTTTACGTCGAGGCTTGCCAGATAATTAAATGGACTTACGGTTAAGCGCACAGATTACATCGTAGGGTCTCTGTTATTGCATTTATATCAAAGAAGTTATTTTTAGATACACGTGGAATAATAAATTTAATATCATTCCACGTGTATCTAAAAATAACTTTGTAATTTAAAATTAGAGTGGAAATCATATTTAAGGCAGTTTTCGACTAAAACTAAAAACTAAGAAGTACTCAGACTGGTTGGGTTTGTTTGTTTTATATATGTAATGCGATAACGTAATTCACTGTTTAATTATTTTTTTAATGAATATGTCATATTTTATGGGTGGTTTTATATAAAGTCAAAAAAATTGCAACCCTAAAACTCATTCTAGAAGTGTACCTTTTTGTTATAGAGTGGCTATTTAACTGTTGAAAAAAGTGAGTGAAGCCATGTAAATTAATTTTAATTCATCATTTATCATATAAAATGTACTATGAACAATTCTGAAAAAAAATGGGATTCAAATTTAATAACTTCCTTTATCCAATACTGGAACAAAGTGTTAAATATCATGGACACCCTACAAAGGTACCTTCATAACGCAGGAAAATATTGATATTGTTTTGAGTGAAAATTTTAATGAGCATCCCATAGTCCCCTGGTGGAATCGCTTAGAATTAATACCGAGGGTAGTTTATCAAATTATCGTAACAATCAGGTTTATATAAACGGGCCTATAAACCCCTTTTACGGGTCACAGTTTTGTATTTCTATTGTTTAACATTAGAATGGTCTATATAATTTGACTTAAATGTTAAATGCTTTAATTGAAGCTAATGATTATATTGGAAATAATATATAGCTTTGTAATACTTTCTTAGATTTACGCGAATATTTAACATTTTAAATAAAAATAACTTTTCGGTTTATTTCGCGGATTTATTTTGATTTTTGGTTCCTGACGTTTCGAATGCTTTACAGCACTCAGTTTCTCCCGTGGCCATGATTACTGTAAAGCATTCGAAACGTCGGGAACCAAAAATCAAAATAAATCCGCGAAATAATTCGAAAAGATAGTTTTATTTAAAATATAGCATTGTACTTTAAACCAAGCTGATTCTGGTAACTTTGTTTGCATTACAAATAAATTCATTGTACATTTTAATAATATCATGTTAGTTGCATGTAGCAAGCATTATTTATTTAAGACCTCATATTGGAAAGTTAAAAAAAAGTTGTATATTCATAAAACAAGCGAAAGTGTATTTGATATAAAATTTCAAACACATCAATAGTTCGAGCAGATATAAAACTATATTCACGAATATTTGCCTGACATAAAAAAGTGAATGGTTAAATAACTTGCATCGGTTGCAACCAAAGCAAATTTTGTATTCGCTATGTTCACATTTCTACCATAATTTGCTTAACGCCGCTTCCACAAAGAACAATACGCTGTGAATTTTTGTTGTTTTCATAGTGAAAATTCACTCAAAGCTAAATTTCATTACAATCACAGGCAGTCCGTTGGCAGGCCAGCGGTGCGTATAAGCCCCTAAGCCGCCGTCAGCCGACCACCGAGTTATAGTGCACACCTACATAGATATGCACCTAGATAAAGCCAGTTTTGCTGTTTCAGACAAATCTGCCGAATATTATCTGTCTGGGCCGCCTTTATATTGCTTTTGGTAAAATCCACTTAGTTGTGATATTTAATGATTTAAATATAGTATTTAAAAGCTTAATTCATTCAACATATAGGTGTAGTAATTAGTACGAACGTACATAACGAAGTGGTTTGAACGCGAGAGTATAACCTAAATATCTAAAACCAAAAAAAACTCTGAAAACAGCAGGGACAAATGTCTGTGGTACAGATATGTATATTTGCCTACTCGGATATAAAAAAAACATGTAGATAGATATATATGTAAGTCAATTATATCATAGAAATCCAACACTTAATAACCGCTTAAGAGACAAATTGAATTTAATTTTTTAAAAGATTTTATTATCTTTTTTATATTTTTTATCAAATCTTGGAAATTGATTTTAGTTTTTATAAGTGTTATCAATTTGAAAATTTGTATGTGAAAATCTGATTAAAGTACAATAATTTATTGTTACCTACGCTAACCTAATGACTGAGCCAAGAGATGTATACTGGCACTCTTCGATAGCTACCAGTCAAATCTCTGAGTTTGGGTTCATTTAATTAGTTTTGACGAGTGCCACACATTACAATAAGTTAAAAGCGTGTTTCTTAACCTAAACCTAATATACATATTCTGTACTATAAAAAAAATTAAACATAATTACAAGATGTACATACGGGGCATTCATTTGTGTGACGAGCATGAAGGTTTGTACTTCACTCATGGGTGTTTATATTTATAATATATATGTATTTAAACTTATATATGTGTAGTGTATCAACTATCTGGTATCCATAACACGAGCCTCGTAGCTTACCATGGAACTAGATGGTGCTGAGTTAATGTCCCAGCACATTTATTTATAAGATGTGATACGTGACGTCACTTAAGAGAACAAACAGTCATAAATACCGAGTAGTAAGTAAATACTGGGAATGAAGTAAACACGCCCAATTCGGATGAGTAGAATGTAATTAGCAGGCAACAAATTAAACTTTAGTAAGTGGCTATGCACTGAACGGAATAAAGGGATTACACGATTAATGACGTTGGATTGTCGTGATTTAGTTCGTACATAGTGTGTTTCGACATACCTTTGTGCTATTATTATGGTATATTTTTATTCATACCAATATTATAAAGAAAACATTTTTGAATTGAGACTTTTTTAGAATGGATGTGATTTGAAACTCGATGTAACGAAAATGCGATACTAAAAAGAGACCAACACATAAATATATAGGATTAAGCCGGCGAGAGAATGAGATAGAATAGTTGCCATGGTAACCTTTGTTATTTTCTGACTGAATATTATATTCTCTCCGTACATAATATTCTATAAATATATGATTGTAATATGCCTAATATGCCTTATTTAATTATAGATTTGTTTTAATTTAATTGCAATATTTGCCAAAGAAGATTCACTTCTACCGTGAGTGAATTGCATTCACACACACAAACTTATTTTTTTGTAAGTCTAAACTCACTGTTCTATGTGACTAATGGAATATGCGTGTGTTTAAAATAAAGGTAAAATATATTTTTTCGTAATCCTTATTGCTTTTGAATTAAGCCTATATGAATATTTTTAATGTAATTTTTTTTGATTAAGAAAATAATTATTACAAAGTGTAGGAAATTGAATGTAGTTGAAACGCACGCCATTGGTCAGGCCGAATATGACGTCATAACAGAGTAATTAGCGATTTTGTCGCTACAAATTGAATCGTCATTTTTTTGCGTTTATCATACAGTGATGTACCACCAAGCGCGCAAAATGGCAGGCGTTTTAAGTATTCGTATGATGTTTAAAAAAATATATCATTAATATATCAAAATCTATCTAGTGGTTTTTCCGTGATGCGGTAAAGTCAGACAGACAGAAAAGAATCTAAAAACTATAGATTCTGCCTCTGTATCGGTAACAAAATCTATTTCAATAAGAATTTCCATAAAAAAAATAATGTACAGATTCGGCCTAGTTACAATTTTAATAATGTAGGTATAGATCTATAATAGCAAAATTCTAATTTCATTCAAACAATTTTGCTCGAACACAAACTTTGTCAGATATTTTAAACTTTTAATGTTCTTGAAAAATGTGAATTTTACTACATAGTTGGTGATACTCGAACGTTGCACAGCCTTTTAACAATTTAAACATGAAATTCGAAGAGAAATGTGCATGAATTCAGGAGTATGGAACATCGCGACAGCGAACGAGGTAAGTTAGAATTTTTTTGAATACCGAAGGTTTAAAAATATTTTCGTACCTGATATAGAAGGTTTTAAATATTTGTAGCGCTTTTATTAAAAATATATTTTCATTCAATATGTTTTTATTTAAGTCAACGTTCAGTGTAATAAAAAAAAATATAAAAATGCTTTTCTTAAGTAAGCATTCTCTTTATTCTGCCATACATAAGAGTTTGTAAGCCTCGAACATGTCTACGGAATATCCGACGACTACACTCTTTTACGTTAATTTAAGTTTACTTGCGTGCACCTTTTACTGCTGTTGTTAGTGTCTTAAATCTTATCTTATAATATTATATGAGAAATTCTTGTATACATATATATTTATTTCTTGTATCTCGGAACTGGCTCTAACGATTTGGATCAAATTTTGTATTTACATAAGGTTTTGCTTTTTAAGTTTATTAATATCTATAGGTGTCCTATGTAAAAAAACGCAATTTTTCATAAAAAAGTCCGCTAGTATATATATATATATATATATATATATATATATATATATTATATATATATATACTAGCGGACCCGACAGACGTTGTCCTGTCTACACGTCTTTAATTTTAAAATTTCAAACTTTTTTTAATAATTTTTGTGGTACTTGCATTGTCGCCAATGGATGATAACTTACTGAACAAGCACCCTATGCCGACCAAAGCTCGGTCGCCCATCTACTATTTAACTAGACCAAAAAGGAGGACAAGGTTTTATATTTCTTCAACCTTTTAAAGTTATTGAGTTATAAGAAAACATTAAATACTAAAATAAGTAAGCAAGTAATTTTTTTTATTTTTTACTATATTTTGGAAGTTTGGGCTGGAAAAATGAAATAAAAATGAAAAAGTTAGAAAGGTAATTGCGTACTTTTTACTGCAAATAAAAACAGTCAAAATTGCATAATAATGTATATAACGCAGTCTGTAGTCTTCTATACCTACATATGAATAAAATTCTGAATCGAAACTGTACATTAAATATTTTATGGAAAATCTTTTTAAAATAGTCTTTATTATCGATACAGAGGCCGAATCTATAGTTTTTAGAATTTTTGTCTATCTGTCTGTCTGGCAACGCATCACGAGAACACTACTGGACAGATTTTGATGAAATTTGGTATGATGATAGTTAGTTATCCGTCTCAACATAAAGTATATTTTTTCTGCAGGAAAATATTTTATCTCTAAGAAATCTATACTAAACATTAAAACGTAACTACTAACTAGAGACAAACCCGAGCTGAGTGTCGAGTAGTCATTACCGGAGTATGAGAATGACGGAAATAGAGAGTGCACCTGTGTCTGCACGTATACTTGTGCACTATATCACTATAATATCTCCTACGCAGATGACTAGTCTCAATGAGATTGGCCATCGTGGTTGACATTTCAACTGTGACTCATTAGTCAGGAGGACAATATTATTATTAAATGTACCTGTGGATCATCCTGTGAGAATATCGCATCGAATGCGAACATCTTCGGAGCAGCCACACCAACTTTTCTGTCTTCTGGGGCAGTGGCTGTAGGAGCTGTTTCACATAAAGTCACTTGCTTCTTGCGTTTGTCGAGTGAGAAGGTCTGTGTACCGCTGGTGAAAGGTCCTTCGCCGGTCGCGCCAACTCGTAGCATTACTTTGACCTATAACAAGATAAATAGTAAATGTTAGTTTTACAAAATTAAGTTTAAATTGTAGTATATATTTAGGTGAATTTTATAGTTTTTTATTAGGGTTCCGTAGCCAATTGGCTGAAACAGAATCCTTCATGTTTTTATTTTTCATAAGTTCCGTGATAAAAGTTCCAATCGTGAAATGATTGTCATGTTTTTAATGGTGTTAACATATATATAATATTTTCCACTTTTAAGGGATTTTTTACATTTTCAACCGACTTCCTCAAAAAGGAGGAGGTTCTCAATTCGGCTGTATGTTTTTTTTATGTTTGTTACCTCAGAACTCTGTCATTTATTAAACGATTTAAAAAATTTTTGTTTGGTTTGAAAGTGTATATTTCCAGATTGGTCCCATTTAAATTTAAAAAAAAAACCACCCATAAGGGTGGAAAAAAATAGGCAATGATGAATTTAACCTACTTCTAATTGTCATATTGACTTTAAACTTTGCAAGTATTTCTATTTTCGTTGATAGTACAGTGGTTCGGTATTGTTGACCTGATCTGATGGTAAGGCCAGAAGGTGGATAGGCGGAACTCTTCAACAGCTAATACTAGATACTTTGAGTTTGGGCTTATGTATCTTACATAAACATAAACAATATAAATTCTCCAGTAACTTCATAAGAAAATTATTAGCGCGTAATTGCTATTAAAATACATGTAAACACAAAATATACCACGTAAAAGGGACCATTTAGCGATGTTACACAATGAAATACGAGTATATTCTATTGTTGCGTTGTATAGAAAACGAGCGTGGATTCACTTCAAAGCCGTGTTTGTGAAGCTTCGTTAAACACAGTTTCGTCCCGGGACCGATATTTGGATAAGATGTGCGGGAGATGGGAGAATTTATCACTTATTTTTTAGACCATATGGCATAGTGGCAGGTTATTTATAATTTAATCTGGTAATTACAGATTCAGCTTACAATGGAACAAATATAAAAATGTTGAAAGTACAATAATGTTTGCTTAACGGGAAAATGATAATTTAAAATGAAATTTTCTTTTTTGCGATTTTATTTTGATTTTAGTTGCTTCGGTACCATTTCTCTTTTCTAAATAAATGTTGATTTTAATGTCTTAAGAAGAAATATTTTCAGTAAATGGGATACGAGAATAATCTTATAATGAATAGGCTCAGAGAGATTCTGATAACTGCGAGCGCGTCACCGCACATTTCACTGACATAAGTAGGACATTATTTAATCTTCAATATCTCAATGCATACATTTTTAGTAACAGAATAGAAAATATACCTCGTGGAAATAAAATTCTGTTGTGAACGTAGGAAAATATAGTTTAGGTCTGTTACATTGTACTAACATCTTAGTATACAGCCTTTCTGTAACGTCCCACTACTGGGCACGGGCCTCCCTTTAATACGATCAGGCTATAGCCTACTAAGCTGGCCAAGTGCGGATTATCGAACTTCACACGTCTGTAGAAAACTTGCTAAGTTCTCTTAGAAATGCTTTTCTTACAATGTTTTCTTTTATTGTAAGACAAGAGGTAATCATGTTGGTAATAATTGGAACAAGAAAATACCAGAGGTGCGAGAACCGATATTTGATCCCGCTTCACTCGGTTTCTCAAGTAAGCGGGTTACTACGAGGCTATCATAATAATCTATACTTATTATAAAAATAAGTCCCCCGGCCGCGTCTTTCTGTCCTCCTGTCTGTCCTCCTGTCTGTCCTCCTGTCTGTCTGTACGCGATAAACTCGAAAACTACTGAACGGATTTTTATACGGTTTTCAACAATAGAAAGAGTAATTCTTGAGGAAGGTTTAGGTATATAATTTATTATGCTTTTATGTAAATTAGCTGAAATACGGCGACAAATGTTGAAGAGGTCGCAAAAAATCTCGCCAAATGGGAACTTTCCACGCGAACGCCGCGTAAACTAGCAAAGATACAGTTAAGTAATGTACTAGAGAATTCAAAATCTATAAAAATGCTACAAAAAAGTCCGCGATAGCATATCTCTATCTCTTACGGTTGACTTACAATAACCACTTTTATGTTAACATTTTTAATTAAAAACATTACGTTATTTTCAAAGTTATTTTCTTTAGTTCGGTATTAATCCTTATCCAAATGAATATTTTAGTTAGCTTAGTCATTTAATGCAGATTAAAATTGCTCTTTACACTAAATCAATCAGATGAATAGTTTTTGAGATATCGTTGTTAGAAGTAATTAGTAGCGAAACATTTTTAATGCTTGGCGAGCATTGAGATGCCTACGGCGAGTCCATCCCCTCTGCCCCGCATCGCTCGACCGCCTGCTCAAGCTATATAAACCGGGCGATGTAGCGCGCGATCCTAGGATACTTTTTACCGCGGGAAAATATCTTATTTCTGAGGAAAAATACAAAAACTGCAATGTAAGAGTATACTAATATGTAACACCTAAGAATTTAGTTTTTGGTCATCTGAACGCGGGCGGAGCCGCGGGCAATGCTAGTAGTTCTATAATAATCATTATAAATATTTATTTTACGTATCAACGATACATATAACGAAGTGATTTTTCCCATAGAGATAGTGGGCTAAATTGTATAGGATAAAAATCCTTACATGAACCGATTCCCGTGGGATACAAATATATAAATTTATTAAAATGCATAGGTACTAGTTAGGGCAAAAAGAAAGCACATAGTAATTAAACACACAAAGTAATTCTTTTTATTTAGCTATTTACTTATTATTTATAAATATCATCTTATTATTATTTATTTATATTATTTATTTATTTATTATCTTATTATTCTATTTATATATTTTTCATATTTAACTAGGCTGAAGGAACAATATTTTTTTAATAATAACTAACAACACTATTATAGAGAGGTTTACATATTATGAAAAAAAATTAAACTACCTGCGATTTTAAGTAGAGTCATGTGAAATTACTAGTTATTATCCAAAGTAGTTTCAGCATACGTTACATAATTCTAAGACGTGTCTCGCAAATCACTATGTAATTAGATGGGAATTAATTACACCGTTGTCTCTCTGAATTAGCAAGGAGGTGGGGTGAAATTCTCGTAAGTAATAAAACAGTGCTTAGGTAAATATGTGACGGTGGGAATGTTTGTTTGTTTATACGAGTAATATACTAGATTTCCTACACGTGTTTTAGGAAATTTATTAAAATTACGACTGGCAACTGATTGATAAATGGTAGTGGACTCTACTGATACTCAATCAGTTGGTTGATTCTACTCTTTTAAATAGAAAAATTTGTGTTGCCCTTTCAAACTAAAAGGGCTCGATTGATGGAGATGAAATTTAATATACAAATAGATTATGATCTGGAGTAACACAGGCTAGTATGTAGTATATATTATGTATTAGGTATATATGGTTGAAGTGTAACAAATATTTAAAAAAAGATACCTACTACTGTTTTTATAAGTTTTATTCTTAAAGGTATATAAATATATGAGCATATAAGGTATAACTTATTGATAAACAAATATATAATCTTTATCATAGACTATTTGACGAAGAAAACGTTAATGTACACCAAACTTGTGTATCTTTCTTTTAAAGCCGACCATAAAGTTATTTTAAAAAAGTTAATGTGAACAAGGATCAGTTTTTCTTTAATTCATTTTACAACTTACATTCGTGAAGTATTGTACGTAGTTGTACATAATTTGATTTGTATCTGTGTGGTAATATTTTACGATGTGTTAACGTCTGCTCGCCTCGAGCGGGAAAAGTTATTCTACTGTGCTTGTTGACCTAATTAATGTAACGTAGTGCAGTACTCGTTTAATTGGTAATATCTTTTGCCAGCTTCTTTTCTTTATACAATGTATTGAATGTATAAAAACAATTTTGCGCTATTTCTAATATATTCTGGAGAGCCTTATAGAAATGAATAAAAAATATGTTAATTATACAAATTATAATAATGTTAAATATAATACTAGAGCTTTAAAGGCTTTGAGTGAGATATTTTCAAAGGAGGCTTTGTCGCACGGTTATTTCACCTGATCTGGGCTAGGCAAAGCTCAAAGTTGCCTCTACCAGAATAAATCTAATATGCATCGTTTTCATACGACATAAGATAAAACTGCATGAAACATAAAGTTTTAGAAGCCTACTTCGCTTAAAAGAACTATTCCCTACAACTTTGAACTACATGTAAACTTTTGATCTGTTCTGTCTGTTCAAAGGTAGCAAATTTTAAAGGAGCTTTTCTCTAGCAACACTCGAATATAGAGAAAAAATGACAATTAAGCACCCCTCACGCGTAATCAGCTAATAGGTGTAAACCGGGTTGATAAGCCATTGTAAAGCTACGTGTCTGGCTTTTTGATTACAATACCATTACATGATTACACGTCTCGCTAATTTGTGAATGTTCCCACTGAATTATAAGCGGATGACATCAAAGACGAAAATGTAGGGGCAATCCTTTGAATCATAGTTCTGAATGAGCTTTTAGTCCGGCGGTGTACTCGCGTACTGCTTACTGTTTGGAACATTTTTTTTCTCTACATATCAATATATGTTGTATATCAGCTGTATATGTTGTTATTTAAATGTAAATTTGAAATAAATGTTTTTTTATTGACTGAGTATATGCTACAACTATTCAATGATAAGCTACTAAATTTATATTAGTTGAGGTTGATCACATACGTTTATTCACTATCTTATTCTTAAATAATAATTAAAAATAATATTATATGTAAAAAGTAAAAAAAATTGTAAATAGCAAAAACATTTTATGAAAATCATTTTAAGTCCGTTCCTTTGAAAACAATAATTAAGAGTGTCAGATTATTGCTCTTTAACGATATCATAGGCAAAATCAAGAGCACCATTTAGTGTTCAAGGAATATACTCAAAGACCGCTCAGGATTTACTAATATTAGGGCTATCGAACTCAGGTCAGTGTTATGCAAATGGCGCCATTACATCAATTGTTCTGGATGAATTAA